GGCAGCATTGTCTGGAGAGGGTAGTGCTGAAGGACTTTACATAAATGAATAACAAATTAAATCCCAAATTCAGCCATTACTTTTTTAAGCAGTTACAGAAACATTTTTTCCCCTTTAGGATAAAGGGTTCACATAAATGAATAAAAACTGAACATCCCTGTCAATGTTAAATGTTTTGTAAAGTGAAGCAAAAAAGAGAGCGCACCAACCTTACGCATTACCTTAGCAAACAGTGAGTATATTTTTTATTCAATAAAATCACAAACAAGGAAGTATAGCAAGCATTACAGATCCTGAAAGGAACTTGGAAGTGTAGAACCAGTGCGAGTCACATCACGAGGGTAGACTCTGAAAGTGAGGATGACGCGTTTCAAAAGAGGACCCTTCATCATTTGAACTTTGATGAAGAAGAGTCCCCCTTCGAAACGTGTCATCCTCACTTTGAGTGTCTACCCTCATGATGTAACTCGCACTGGTTCTACACTTCCAAGTTCCTTTCAGGATCTGTAATGCTTGCAATACTTCCTTGTTTGTGAGTATATTTTGTATTCAATAAAATCACAGTTTACTAAAGTAATGCTTAAGGTTGGTGCGCTCTCTTTTTGCTTCACTTTACAGTATCGGTCGGGCTTCCCCAGCCTTGTTCTAGAGCTGCACAACCTTCCCATGCTTTGGTGAAACTGTTTCAAGGTTCCCTTCCACCCTTGTTCTGAGTCCTAGAGCGCAGGAGGTGTCGTTTCTGTTTCTAATGTTCAATGTTTGTCTTAACCTTCTAACTGCCACTTTTGCTGCACAGTCTGCTTTTTTAATGTTGCAAAATAACAGCAGGATCAATAGGTAAAAAAAAGTTACAGGGGAAACCAAGAAAAATAGACATTAATTGCTAGTGGCAGACTGCATCATAGGTGTTACTTTTTATTTTGCCTTTAGTATCACTTTAAACACAAAGGGTAGAATGACTTTAATTTAAAATGAATTAAAATAAAAATCAACGGTTAATGTTTTTTCATAACTTTTAAGATGATCTTATGACTAAAATTATCTGGAGCAAAAAAAAAAAAATATAAAATAAATAGTGGATGTGGAAAAAAATACTAATCAAAGCAGGCATTTAGCAGATCCACCATGGGACACTGTAGCCGATATCACTCAGAGAAAAAAAAAATGAACTCAACTAAAAACAGCAACAACTGTTAAATGAAAGTAAACTCCATTATGTTCTGTAAAAGCTTATAAAAGATATACTTGTATAGATTTCATGAATTCTTTTGTTATAATAGGGCAATGTATATTTAGGACTTTTTGGTTCAGTTTTTGCTATTGCTGCGACAGTGACATTTCTTATGTCAAATAACAGTGCAGACCTGATACTTTCCAGGTAGTTTTCATGCTAAAATTTGGGTGCTGTGAGATATGGCTTTGTGATACAAGTGCTTATTTATTACATATGAATTATTTTGTACGCAATTTAAATATATACCTCTACCTTATATTTACACCAAAGACACTTTATTGAATATCCCACTGCTTTCTCATTGCACTATTAATACAGACATTATTATGTTTGCGATGCCAAAATATCACTGAACTACATTAGTTAGCAAATGCTACATTTAGTCATTAACCATTTGCCGCCCGCCCTATGGCCGAATGGCGGGCGGGAAATGTCATCAGGGTTCCGGGTGAACGCCATATGGCGTCCTCCCACACATGCGCAGATTGCGCTCCTGCAGAGCGGCGCAGTGGCGCGATCTGTCACCGGCCGTGTACCTCGGACATGGCCGATGACAGATCTGAGTATCGGCCCCGTTGCCAGTACCATGTGACCTGCTGTGACCAATCACAGCAGGTCACATGAGAGTTGTATTCAATGGATGGCTTCATTCATGCCATCCATTGTATACTAGTGTCTAGCTGTGAATGGTCACAGCTAATCACATGCACATGTCATGTGATTAGCTGTGGCCAAATCACAGCTAAGCACAAAAAAACAAAAAAAAAAAAAAAAAAAAAAACCCTGAATGAATCGATGTCATTCAGGTAAATGCTTGCTTATAGCAAAGTAATTCTTTGCTATAAGCAAATTGTGTAAAAAAAAAAAAAAAAAAAAAAGTACTGATCACTTCCCCAAAGTAGTACAATGTTACTATGGTAACATTGTACTACTTTGGTCATAGTGAAATATGAAAAAAAAAAATCTTAAAAAGAAAAAAAAATTTAATAAAAAATAAAAAAATATATAATTTTTTTTCATACTGTCACCAGTCAGTGCCCTGATCACCGCCATGCCATTTATATGATGACGCTGTACTGCACTGGTGACAATATGTAAAAAAAAAAAATAGTGAAACTAATTTTTTTATTTTTTCATTTTCCGAAAAATTATGACAAAAAAAATACAACTTCAAAAAACTCACCATGCCTCTTATGAAGTACGTCGGACTGTCTACTCTGCAAAAAGGGGTCATTTGGGGGATATCTGTACTGTTCTGACATTCTTAAACCTCAAGAAATTAGATTGGCTGTCAGTACTTCAGGATTGATCAATATTCAGATCTATACCATAGTTTGTTAACTCTATAACTTTCCTACAGACTAAAAAATACATCCTAATTTGGGTTATTTTCACCAAAGACATGTAGCAGAATACATCTCGGCCTAAATTTACAAAGAACAATTATTTATTTGCAAACTTTTATAACAGAAACAAAGAAAACTTTTTTTTTTTTTCAAAATTTTTTGGTCTTTTTTTGTTAATTTAGCAAAAAATAAAAAACCCCAGTGGTGATTAAATACTACCAAAAGAAAGCTCTAGTTGTGTGAAGAAAATGATAAAAATTTTAGTTTGGGTACAATGTTGTATGACCCGCGCAATTGTCATTCAAAGTGTGAGAGCGCTGAAACCTGAAAACTGGCCTGGGCAGGAAGGTGTAAAATTGCCCGGTTTTGAATTGGTTAAGAGAAAACAATGAAAGTGAATAAATTTAATATCATTTTGGTTAAAAAATGGAAGCAATTTTTTCTGATGTAGTTGCTGATAAATCCATAGGTTTCACCTTATTTGGCTGAAAAAAAACCATAGCAGAGATATTTTCTGATAAATCGAATTGTCAGCATGACATATCATGCCAATAGTATTTCTTTCTCTCTCTCACTATTGTATAAAGTACATATACATTTACACACACACAATTATTTTATACCTTTTTGCAGTTTACAATAGGAGCCTTTAAAACTGAAAACTTATTTACTGGGAACCTTTCTCTTTTAAGGAAACAGAAAAATGGAGATTGCCATTGTTAAATTTGCCTTCTGAAAAATGTTAATTGCCATATCAATCCAATAATTTAAGAACCTAAAAGCTGAACTACTAGTTTATGCATGTATGTATTCCTTACCTTACATTTAGGTATTATCTTAGAAGCATTTAAAAAGTGTTAGTGTTTTGAAAAAGCATTTTTAAAGTGTTAATACACAAAATCTGTATTGGTGTTGGCCTGATAAGCTGCTGTGCTCATGTGCTACAAAGCTACATGCTGATAGGACAAGAGAGCAGTGACAGAACGATGAGACTCACCAGTGTGCTGCTTCCCCTTCACCTATCTAATCACAGGCTGGGGGCATGGGCAAGACCTACTTGTATTACTTAAAGTGTTACTAAACCCAGGACCCTGCAGTCACTATATCTGGTCTCCCACAGTACACACAACATGGAAATGCAATCATTTTAGTAAATATATCAAACTGCTAAATACCTTTTCTCAACAGCAGTTAGAGCAGTCTTGTGACTTCTATCAGTGTTCAGCAGAGCACTGGTTAAACCTTGTAGGAGGAGTTTTCTTTCTGATCTAGAAGGATGCAAAGCCCCTGACCTCAGTCTGGACAGTGCTGATCACATGCGCTTTCCCAAGAAAAAAAAATACCTCTCTAGCAATACACACTAAACTGAGCATGTGCAGAAGGGCTACAGGTTCAGTCTGTCTTATCAGCGTGGACATTTGAACAAGAGGAGGGGCAGAGAAGTCAGGATCAAACAGCCTTTTTTTACACTATGCAGAGGATTAACCCCTTAGGTTCCACAGTGAGTATAACAAGCATGCTTTACTGCATATACAGACTGATTTTTACGGTTGTGGGTTTAGTAACACTTTAACTGCAGTAGAGAAAATTCAAGACTGCTGGCTGCCTGCACTAAGCTGTGGAAACCTCAGGACTGGATGAACAGAAATACAAAATATTGGAAAGGCAAAACAGCTCTCTTATATGAATTTCATGTGTATTTAGCATTTTTTTTAAATTTTCTTTGACGTGATTAGCTTTTCTTTGCTTCGTGACTTTTCACCACATTCACAAACCTAAGGGAAAATTCTGTTTCAAAGTTAACAGCCTATTTGTCTTTAGTAAATCAACCACACTGTGGTGCCGATTTTGTAAAGAAGTTTAGTATCGTCACTAAAAAAATTGTGAATATTTATTTGCTTTATCCAGTCATGTGAAAAGCAAAATCCTCACCACTTTGAATACCCAATCATATGCAGATGCTTTTCACATGAATTGATATTTGACTGAGTATTCTCATAATTTTTTTCAAAGACAATGTTTAACTAGTTGCCGACCGCAGATAGCCGAATGACGGCTTCACTGCGGCCTGCCAGTTCTGGGTGGACGTCATATGACGTCCCGCCAGAACGCGCTCTCCTGCGCACCCCAGGGGGCGCGCACCGGCGATCTCCGTGATCGCTGTGTCCTACGGACACAGCTGATCACGAAGATGTGTAAAAGGCCGATCATACCGGCCTTTTACCACGTGATCAGCGGTCAGATCGTGAGGAAAGTACTGCCGAGAACCGGCAGTTGTCAGAGCGAGGATCGGCACCGATCATCAGGGCCACTGATGATCAGTGCCCTGATGATCGGTGCCCAGCAGTGCCAACCCACAAGTTCTGCCCACTGTGCCCAGCAGTGAGCCCACTAGCTCCGCCCACCTGTGCCCAGCAGTGCACCCACCTGTGCCCAGCAGTGCACCCACCTGTGCCACTCTGCAGTGTCACACACCTGTGCCCAGAAGTGCCAACCGACCTGTGCCCACCCACCTGTGCCCACCAGTGCCACCCACCTGTGCCCACCCACCAGTGCTGCCCACCAGTGCCACCCACCAGTGCAGCCCGTCAGTGCCCCAGCGGTTGTGCCAGGCAGTGCCGCCAGTCAGTGCCAGCAGTGATGCCAGTCAGTGCCATCTATCAGTACCCATCATCAGTGTCACCTATCAGTGCTGCATATTAGTGCCGCCTATCCGTGACACCTCATTAGTGCTGCCTATCCGTGCCGCCTATCCGTGCCACTTCATTAGTACTGCCTATCAGTGCCCTTTAGTGCTGCCTATCAGTGCCCATCAGTGCCGCCTATCAGTGCCCAGCAGTGCTGCCTCATCAACGCACATAAGTGAAGGAGAAAAAATACCTGTTTGAAAAATTTTATAATAGAAAACAAAGAAACTTTTTTTTTTTTTCCAAATTTTTTGCACCTTTTTTAATTTATAGCGCAAAAAGTAAAGCGCCAGTGGCGATTAAATACCACCAAAAGAAAGCTCTATTTGTGAGAAAAAAATGATCAAATTTTTCATATGGGTACAATGTTGCATGACCGCGCAATTGTCAATCAAAGTGCGGCAGCGCTGAAAGCTGAAAATTGGCCTGGTAAGGAAGGGGGTATAAGTGCTGGTAGGCAAGTGGTTAACCTCTTTAGTAAATCTCTCTCTCTGAAATGAAAGCTCTCCAATGGGACAGAGATCAGCAAAGAGTGAAACTGACAGGGGTTTTACCGTTCCTAGTCTATCCAAAAACTGAAAAAAAAAGGGTT